TTAATATGACGAGACCCACCCGCTGCGTTCAAAGAAGGCCGTCACAAACGACCTCCCTGAACACGAGTACAGGATTGGGCAAACAATCCCTTCGGCCATCTCGCTAAGATGGCGCCCTCTCATAGGCTGGCAGAGCATTAGGGAGGTAGGCATTCCTAAGGGCATGGTCTGAGTTGTCCAGGCAACTGACACGAATCACAATCTCTTTGAGCGACAATGTTGAGCTCTGTTCTCTTGACAGTTGGTGCAACTTAATGCACACCGACTGGGTTATGCATTTCAAACCTGAGGCAGCTGCATCAAGTTTGCTGAGCCAGGGGCCTCACGGCCAATGCACCAAGGTATTGATGAGGCACCACTCTGTACCTGCCTTACTGTCTCGAACATTTATCGCCTACTTTTACCACTGATGTTTTAAAATTCAATTCGGTGAAGAATTCTTTCCCTCAGCACAGATAGTTTCCGCCGTGCTGGAATTATGGCGGAAAATCTTCCTACGATCGAACAACGGTAGCCTCGGGATCCTGCTCAGTGGTCTTACTGGTCACTAGATCCAACCATTGGATGATGCATCTCGAGACCTGCTGAGGAGCATGGCAGACATTTCGGTCCCGGGCCTCTTGATTGGTGTTATCATAAACGCTGCACCAAGCAACAGCTCGATTCCTCAAGTTGCTTCTCTTGTGTGATTTGCATGATGCGAAAATTCGTCAGATTCAATTGCTCGGTCCGAAGATTCTCTGATTACGATGCCAGCGCCAGCTACTTCCAGATCCAAACTAACTATTCTGGCAGTGTCCGCCCCGGGTAATCCCTGGGGAGGCAGAGGGTGTGCCGGCCCCTCGAGTCGGATGCATCATCCGGGATTCCGCCAAAATGGATTATTCTATTTCAGACCATCTGGATTGCTGATTCGCGTACCCGCTGCAGACGCAGCGGATGTGGTTTTTGCACGTGGTGACCACCACGCGATTTGGTCACAAATAACAGGTGACAAATCACCTGCCGCTCAGGTGTGAGAAGTAGCCCTCCGACGCATGCGTGCAGCTGACTTTCTTGCTGCTGCAAGCAACTCTCTGGGCTTCGAAACCATGTTGAATGGGCAAATGAATTAATCTGACCAACAAGTGCCCCTCTTCTCAGAGTGATCCAACGGGTGGACACCCCTGTCCCAATCAATTTCTATTCAATCAAAGGGTGATTGAAGGTTAAGGGGGGGTGATGTGACGGGGCAGCCCGTTGCATGATATTGATACCAAACGGTGTCAATAGGAAGATTGGCTCGTTTTGACAATCCCGAGCCAATATTACAAGAGATGGATTAAATTGAGGAATATTGTTTCCTTTAGATAGTGTAACCGTTCGCTGCTCCAAGATTAGCCGATAAAAGTAGAGATCATCGATAGATTACCACCATCGCCGCGTAGACGCGCGCAATGAGTGGTGATAGGTTATCGTCATACGATGACATAGATTATTATAGCTTGGATAATAACTGAACTAAGTACATGATAGCTTAACTGTGTACTAATTACAGTTCTCTTTACATTTTCTCGTACTAGCTGTTTAGGAGGATTATCTTCCTCTGCACGTTACAGTGTACGTGAAGCTTGGTGGCACCTAAACATAGGGTGCCATGTTACACGTTTGACACGAGTCTTTACCACACATACTGTTTCGAGGCGAAGGCTAGTCGGATTGATAAATAGTACGTTCCTAGATCTTGGGCTTCGGACGTCTTCTGGCTATTCTACGACCCTTCAGCAACCCTCCGATAGCGAGCAAGCAGTGCTACACTTACGGGAAAGCGTTTAAAGTAACTAACCCACACAGTGGTAGCACAATACCTATCATATTCGATTCAAACCAGTTCTTAACTGTAACTTGGGGTGCATCCTTCACATGATACCTTGCATTACGTAAACATCAAGCATGAAATTATGCTAACAAAGACATCATATCCTCACAGTATTATTCTTGATGAGTACTAGTGATGATGCAGAAGTCATGCACCAATTATTGCTTATAAAAGGGCAATTATATCGAATAAAAAGGCTAGTACGACAGGAGAACGCAATTAGCGGTGAGCAGTATAAGTTACAAGAACTGTAGTGATCAGGCATAGTTTGAATTAGTGCTGAGCTAGGAGTTACTTACAGAGATGCAGAACTATACTGAATAAAGTTCTATTTTACCCTTACTCTAGTAGCGAAATCTTCTTCTGCACGATACGTGTACATGCGAATTCAGCGCACCTTTTACCCGAGCAGGTAGCCTGTACTGTAACAGTACAGGTCCATCAGTGCCCCGTTACATGGACCGCGTCTAAAAATGGACAATGCCATTCAGGAAATGACGAAATCAAGGGGGGGGCAAGCGTTGTCTGTCCAATCCTGGGACACCCATATTGCTTCACTCTTTAAAAGAAATTGTAACAAAAAACCCTGAAGCTTGTACTGGGTGACAGGTAACGAGCTACTTTATTCTGATGACGTGAGAATAAGGATGGAAGGGAAATGAACTCCTGCAGCAAAAGCTGATGCCAAGTAGCACGCCTCACTTCCCAATCTGTTCCTATTGTCCTAGCGTCAGCCTTCAAGTGACTTGTTTTGTGTCAGCGCCAGCTAGACTTCTGCATGCCTGCAGCGCTTACCCATTCGTAAACTAAGTACAGCGCCTCAGCATGGTGGTCGAAGCCAGTAATTCCATTCATTAAGAAACAAGCAATTCTTCTTCGCCAAATAATTGTTGCCAAACCGAGGTGTAAACTGCGCGGGGCAAATCGAAGTGCAAGCGCCGCGCAAGAGCGCGACACCTGCCGGTCCAATATCATTTCCTGAGAGGTACAAAGTGTTCTCAGCGACGTGCTCGTCTTCAGTGCTTCTGCCAATTGCGTCGCACCAGTATTAGTGATTCGATTAAAGCCAAGATCCAGCGCGTCCGCAGCTTCGAGGCGTCCTGGAGCCAGCACATCTCCCAGCAGTTTCGTACAAGCATCGCCCAAGGAGAAGTTCATCGAGTTTGAGGATCGCATACGGAGCCAAATCTCGGCAGATCCGAAGTCGCACAGTCTCATAGTCAGCCGTCACTTGAGATCCGCCATCCACGTGCCGATAGTACCGTTTAATGTGGTTGTGGATGAGTTCTCGGGACGGACAAGCGTCCAGTGGCGGCGCAGCACCACCTTCTTCAGCCTCAGAGGTCCCCGAAGCGGGCACTTTTGTCTCTAACTTGCTGCTTCTACTGCTGCTGCTGCTGCTGTTACTTTCGCTCGTTCTGGAGCTTGAGCTGTGTGCGTTGTGCTGCGCTTGGAACTCGCGCTCGCTGTACTTGAAGCGCGCGCTCACGTCTCGCATCATCCAGCGGCCACACGCTGCGTCTGCGGCTCCTCCAGCTGCTGCTGCTGCGTCTGCTGCTGCTCGAAGTGGTGCTGTGGACGCGCAGGAGCGACGGGAGCGGGCGTCACTCGGCGAGTGTGTCTGTGTCTGTGCCGGAAGAGGGGAAGGGCAAGCGATACAAAAGTGACATTAGGGTCGACGATGTTCCCCGTGTGGAAGCGAGACGTGCGCGTGGATTGGATAGAACTATGCGGGGGCGATTATACACCAATCGCAACTTCGAAAAGAAAGTCGCGAATACGGTCGCGCGGGTGGATCTGGCGAGGCCTAAACTTGTAATTTTGGGGTGGGCGTCGATCACTTTGTGTACTTCACAGCACAAAAAGAGATTGTGCGATAGAGATCAAAAAGTCGTAAGCGAACTACCGGGTACAACTGTAAAAAGAGAGAATTGAGTGTTTCTGCGTTGGAGGGCAGTAGTTTATGTCTCAGCACCAGAGAAGGGACAGCTTTATCGGCGAAACCCTTCGTCGTCGGAGCCGTAGGGGAGGGGATTGCGTTCTCGACTTGCCGCGTATATCCTTATCCAAGGGTGAGATTACGGCTGCTGGCTTCGTTGAGCCTCGCGATGGATGGGTTTACAATGGGTAACTGAGAATATATGTTTGAGGTGCCCAACGGAAACGTGCCTGCGCTATCGCCTTGGCAAGGATTGTTCCGTAGTGCTAATACTGGCAAAAGTCGACGACAAATCTAGTGTACGACGAGCGACATATCGGTAGAGATTGATTCTTACAAAGCGTGTATTGCAGTACAATATTCTTGTCTTAAGGCGAGCTGAAGGGGCATGTTGGTGTCCAAGTTCAGGCAAGTCAAGGCGACATTGTGATCAGCAATGAGTATGCTTGTGTGTCATTCTGATGAAATTTGATCATGAGCAAATGCACGTAGTCAGGATCTCTGTAGAAAAAGCAAAGCATGGTGTGTGTGTGCAATGTGCTTCATTTCCAACTCTCATGATGTGTTGGTAATGCTCGTGTACCTGACGATGCGATCGCGGTCCGACTTCGCATGCATAGTCGGTCATAAGGGCCTATTTGTGACCAGCTTCTATAAACCCCGCATTGGTTGCATAAGTATGTTGATTGCGATACATTCACGAGATACTTGTTTATGGTACGTCTTACCATGCAGAATGTACACGCCAACCGAATGTCGTTCTTTGAGGCTTCAGTGATCGCAACTGGGCTTTGAATACTGCGCATCAAGATGAAACCGGAAGACTCGTCTTTAATGTTGAGGTGATGCGATTTCGTGGTCATCGATACGACAAATGATACATATCGTGTCGTGTACCGAGGATGACAATGTGGTAGCACATGAAGATATAATGGGAGTTTTTTAAGAAGAAAATATCGTGAGATATTGACAGTATTCCTATCGAGATGTACATCGGCATTGACGGTCAGAGTACGTAGGCAATGGAGACTTATCCAACAAAATCTGCCCTTTGCGACGTTACGAACGTCGCTGAGGCTTGGTTCGTGAGCACGTAAAAAATGAAGAACGCGTTCTTAAAAGGCCTGTTATCGGCAACCCTGCATGTGTCAGCACGAAAGCACTCGACAAAAACAGTAGCTCTACGTACTGGGTGAAAAGGGATATTTTACTGGTTCTCATACTGCTACGACAGTACCAAATACTAGGAACCTCACTGGCGGGCACTCACTGATAAGTCTCACAACCAAATTATAGCCCACATCTCCCGAGAATTTAATACGATGACTGACCGTGTATCGATTGCTGCGATGGCGCCCGGTACATCACTTGAAAGCTTGAACAACACCTTCAACAGAAAGTCAGTTTTTGGCTTAAGGCATCGATCGCCGGCGACGATCAATCGGGTATCCGTCGTTAGATGACCGTCAAACGGTGGTCAAAGTCTGCTATTCACACTGTTGCACTAGAAGCTGCAAGAGATAGCAACGCTGTTTCGCGATGTTTTAGGACAGGGTATTGCTGGTCGTATGCGTTCGTCAATATGTCTCAAATAAGCAAAAGGATCACAAGGGGCTCGAAAAAATTCGATGCTGACACATTCTGATCGAAGATTTCAAACGATGAGTAAAAATATGTTTCAACTGACAGCGCTTGACCTCATTAAGGCTGCTTCTTAACTTCCGCTAATAGCGGTACGGTAACGCACCCTCAATAAGAGAGGCATTCATCGTGGACTCTCCACAATCCCGCTAGACTGCTTGTCGACATTAGCCTTCGGTCCACAGAACTTAGCGCATGAACACTTGTGATAGGTAATTTAGTACGAGCGTTTATACGGCAGCTGAAATAAAGCTGTTGCGTCGAAATGCTATGTTGATTTTGAATGGAAATACAGGTTAATGTCGGATGCATAAGAAAAGAATTTAAAATACAAGAGTGTCTTATGCTAAACGATGGCAGCATTCGGTGGTAGCCAGCTATCCTAGACTGCATTTCCGTATGGCTCTTCTGTTAAGAGGCATATCCATCGCCGTGGTGAAAATGGTTTTCAATATGTCATAATTGTGTTTTAAAGGGAGGTATTACACATCACTCATTCACTAACGCAATACGTCTTGATTTTGTCAAACAAGAAAGAATGCAAAAAGTCAAGTATAAATGTCCAGTGTATTGTTGATGACCACAAATAATACCAATTGAACACGTTGGTGGGCTCTCAATTACATACCAGAGCAGCACCTTGGATGACCGAGGATACTGCGCAAAAATTGTATGATCAAAAACCATAGCATTGCGTCGTGGCAACTTGCAAATATCAACTATGGTCTTGTTGTACAGCCTATTTTAAGCAAGGGCTTCAAGATCCCACGTCGTTTCGACAGCTTCGAGGTCAGATATTACCATCAGGAAGCGGTTGCTAAGGTAGAAAAAAACCTCATCGATGCGGGTCACAACGAGAACTCCACGTAATCGGTATACAAGTAGCGACTCGCAGCAGAAGCATGTGGTGCAAAGATATATATATTCTGTGCTCGAGGCAATGAGTTCTAATTTCTCCTTCCTATACAAACGAATGGTCACTTTTTTGACGTTCAGGAATCAGAAGTCAAGTATACAATTTGGCGAAAACTCCGTTGCGGGTGATACGCATTTCGTAGTTCATTTTCTCGTCCGCCAAGACAGCAAGTTAACAAGTAGTGTCACAAGAGATCCAAACCCTTATTTTTTGAACGCCGAAGACTCGTTTAACCTGCTCTCAGCATGGAGAACGCCGCCTGGGATGTCCTCTACTGATGTCATGACTGCTGCAAACCCAGCATCATAAACAGTCGAAACTTCAAGTCGACGCAGTTAAATGACAGTACCACCAAGAGTTCCAAAAATAATACAATCTTCTTCGATGCACGACGATGTGATCTACATTATACAAATGTAGATTCGAGACAGACCTGCACGTTCATACATTTAATTATGGGATGAATCCCGAAGGGATTAATGCATGTTCGTCTTACCAGAGTCCACATGTCAACTAAAACATCACTAGACTGCCACAGCCATAAACTTTATAAATTAATCAAGAGCGACGAACTTTATGACATCGGGTGGTAGATGGCAATAGGATGATATACACGAGGATAGCAGCTAGAAACTTATTTAATGATTGTGTTCAAGTGTCCTGGCGAGCAACGTGCTCGTTTTGACAGAATATTTGGGCCAGCCATATATGCTACGAGACGTAGGCATGTGGAAGTAATAATTATTTGCGCTGTCAACAAGATGCAGGGTACACGTTCCCATACTTTATTGTTGCATTCGTCTTGTCCAACGTATCAAAAGACCTGTTTCTGACCTACGAACAATGTCGCTCGCTGTCTACGCATTGCCAGTTGATCGTTAAACCCTACAGTCTTTTGGTCCAATTCGTAGTAATGTGCACAAAGGAGACGTTGATAGTATCTTCGGTTGCTCCAAACACGAGCTCAGTTCGTGGTCTCGCTATTGCAAAAACCTCTCGACAGCACAATCGCCCAGCACCAACTTCAGCGTCAATCTCTCAGGAAACCAACGCCAGCTCAAGAGGTTCGTTTTTAATGGAGGAATGATCTGCGGCATTGTTAATAATGGTGAGTTTGTCTAAGAACGGGAACTTCTAGTATCGAAGGTGGTGGTGATTGAAAGGAAGAGGAGCTGGTCGTGTCATACGATCCGCCTATGAGCTGCCTTCCACCTCGAGTGGTCTCACCGGCTGCTCATAGTAGCGACGAGGACTCTTCTCGCAGCGCGGTAGAAGAACGGGAGATCACTGGCTGTACATTAAGATACCGCACTGTGCTGTCCGCAACTTGGCGGAATGTCCATCAGTTCCAAGCTGCACGATGGAGCTGTCCATACTGTTGAAGATCTTTATGTAGATTGCGAGTGCACTTATGCACGTTCATTCGTGCAGACTGATAGATCGTGATCTGAAGCCAGCGAATGTCTTTGTTGCTGACGTGGAGAGAGAAATGAGACTATGCTGGGGGATTCGGCTTATTGCGCGACGTTGCAGACGCCAAGCAGCCTGAATGTCGTGACAAGTCTCGATTATTCTTAACAAGGTCACGGTTTCAATGGTCTGCGGAACACTCCTTTGTCAATGTCGATGTGGTCGAACATGTTGGAAAGCAATATCGAACCTGCTGGTGTTGCCACGTATCTTGCGCAAGCCCAACACAAGTCGCAGATAAAAGTAAATTGTTGAGACGGACATGTACGTGTACACGGATGATCTAGTGAGCTGTGCCACGATTGCTTTGGACGACAATGGAAAGGTACATCATTGTTCATGATGCCCAAGACAGGAAGCTTTCTACTGATCTCCGCGGCGCAAAGATATGTCCTGAAATTCTAGACATGCTCAGCAAGTTGTTGAGTCACGGCCCGAGCGCACGTCCGACAGTCGATGCTGTTGTTCAGTGGGGGCATACGATGTGCGAAACGAGTGTCGCTCAGAAAGCTGTATTGGTTGTGTTCTCGCTGCGCAACCTGGGCATGATCAGATCCGCTACTGGTGCTTACTCTTTCGTGCGGACACTGCGTCATGGCTGGCATCAGGAGGACGAGTCGTTACGACCACGTTTTCGCTGAAGATGGAGGCTGGATGGAGCATTGCAGTAGTGAGAATGGCTGTGTGCGGCGCTTGTCGAACTAGAATTCGTTAAAGCAAGTGTGGGCGTGTATACTGGAGTGCACAATGGAAAGGTCGAAATGATCAAGAAGTGTGGATTGCACGCGGAGAGTAAGGGCGTGACGATTCCAGCATTTAAGTTGGACCCACAGGGCGCTCTCGCCGTTGCGCCTGGCAGCGACGTGGAAGGCTCCGTGGTTTTGGCGATTGAAGCCTTCGCTGAAGTGCAACGGTGCATCGTGTGAGCCAGGTAGATTGAAGCTCTGTGCCAGCCTCAAGCAAGAATCACAACTAAGAGGTTCAGTTTCAATCTGAGTGCAATGAAGCCTCGTCGTGCTTGGGATGGACGTGAACCCGCTCGCCTTGTCTACCGCGTGACCTTGCTTCTTCAAGTCACCACAGCCGAGACGTATCATTCAGCAGCAAACCTCTGTGTGGCAAACGTTTGAAGGCGCGCTCAACCTATTGCAGCTCCAAGCCCTTATCTTAGCAGAATGAAAGTCACCGTGCTGATGTCAAGCCGGCGGAGCAGTATGCCGAGCCCGAGTACAGTAAAAAAGCTGTAGCCTCGCCTTTCTTCTGCCTTACAAATTGCAATGGCACGCGTAACACATCAGCTGGACAAGGGCTCTTCTACTCGTCTTAGTTGTTCAGAGCAACCAAAGCACCAGGGATATGGCTAGTCAAGCAATGATGTGTCTTGCAGAGTCGCTGGGTTGTACCTATAGTTCGTACGATGAACAGGCATGACATGACATGGCTCTACTATGGAGCACGTCATATTAAGCGTCTATCTAGCTTGCCTGATGTCAAGTCTTCATGCTATGACAGACACAATCCATTACGCGACTTCATGCACTCGAAAACAGTGCCATAAGCAGCCAAGCGTCGAAGAGCAGCACATTCAATATCGATGCCGATCCGACTAAAACTCTCGATTACCCCTCTTGTGGTGGGAAATACGCTTCCATCAGATTGTGTCAGCAAACGAATCCGAAAGAGAAGCCGTGTCAGAATTAATCGCTCCTGAAGAAAAGCACTGGACATGTTCCGGTTTGGCCTTGATTCTTACTAACGTGTCGTCGACATGTGTGAGCATTATGGCTTCGAGGGTGAAGCCAATCTATAAAAGTTTTTGTATTCCACTTTATCTGACTGGTCCTGGTAGATCAAGGTCGGCAAAGTATTCTACACTTGTTGCAAGCTCACACGCATCAAAAGCTCTAGCACCCTGCTCCATCAAGCATCAGATTGCGTCAGCAAGCCCATTGTCAAGGCTAGTCCAAGGGCGTCCTGGCCTCCGCCTAACGCCGAATGGAAAGTCCTGTAATCCTCTGGCGTTTTGGAGCTCGTTCTTGACGTGCTTCTGCAGGCGCCATCCGTTCGTTGGTATACATCTCCTCCGCTTTTATGCCGGTCTTCATCTTCTTGTTATATCCTTCAACGAACGTCTTAAAAATGTCCAGCTCAACATTTTTCTGGACCGAGCTCGGAAACTCCACCTTTTCCGGGATCGAGCTCAGGTCGGTTAGCCTGAACAAACTCAAAACGCTTCCAGGGGTTACCTCCTCACTGTTCAACCAGCGGCTCACCAGCTCTTCTTTCAGCAGATTCATCAAATTAGTCCACGTTTCTTGGCGCGTGTCCAGTTTAGCTCGTTCTTGTACGACAACCATCGTCAGCAGACGCACAACCACGAGGTCATTTGCTTTTCCCCTACGGAGCGCCGTAAGAATATTTGCGGGGCGTACGTCTCGATTTATCCCTAACTTTACGATATACGCTAGCATCTCATTCGCAAATGAAGACTCCCCCCGCGATTCCATTATCATCAAGAAAAGTTTTCCGTCATTATTGATCTTGTGTCGTATGCACGCATGTAGGATGTTGCGTCGAGAATCTGGGTCAAACAAAGCATAGTATCGTTGGAGCAAATCCAGGTTCTTGTCCGTCAGGTCTGCTCTCGTCGCCAAGTCAGAAAGCCCCAGAAAGTTATAGGCACGGCTGAAGGAGACCTTCTTTGCCTTCCAATATTGCAACATCGTCTCTTCTAACGCATATGCTTCATCCTTGCTGATGATTTCACCCGCTTTAGCTTTCGACAAAGCAGACACGAGTTCGCTGAAGTCACCCTGTTTGGCACGATAGATTTCTATCAGCAGATCCAGCAGTGTGAATGGTGTCGAGCTTCTCGCGTTGCGAGGTGCAAGTGCCTCGTCGTTCAGTTTGCGCAACGTTTCGGAGCTTAAAAATTGAGGATACACTCGCGCTTGCTCGAACAACTCGAGCAAGTCTGCTTCCGAAAGAGGAGCCCCGCCAGTCGTCTGCGGTGGCACATAACGTCGGTCGTTTGGATCTTGAGCGAGTCTTTTCGCCGCCATTTCACTCGACTCTGGACGACTGATCAGCGCTTTTGCAAATCCGTCATCCAGTTGTGCAAGTCGAGTTTGAACTGCAGTAGCGACGGTGCTGCCTGGACTGTCACTTAACTTCGCATTCGCTGCTGCAATCGACGCGGACACCTCGCTTGGTGGTTGCATCCTCGCTTCTCTCTCCGCCTCATCTATCGTTTGCAACGCCTGTTCCTCCGTAGCGCCGTCCTCACGATCCGGGGCACGATCGCTGGTTGAAAGCTCGGGTTGTGCGATCTTGGAGCCTGAGGCGGAGTAGCTCGAAATGCTTGCTATGAACGCAGCAGCAGCGAGGAGCTCCGTTGAGTAGATGCGCATTTTGGATAAAACGGGGCGAGTGGTTGGTTGGTTGGTCAGTGAGCTGCTCGTAGGAGGCGGTGGGTGAGTTTCGAAGTGACTAGCAGTTAAACAATGAAGACTTTGATCAGGAGCTACTCCCACAACTTCTCCACTTTTTTTACCTGCGTCCCTTTTACCTGCGGCTTCCTCTTTACTTTACTTTAGTAAGATCTCAGGCCGATTTCAGCAGGGACTGGTGCAGCTGACCTTGAACATGCGTAGTGAAGGTCTGCAGAAAGTTCAGAGTGTGGTTGGATCCTGCAAGCCTCACTTTCTATATAAACGTTCCTTCTCATTTTGAGACCACTCCAGCTGACAGCACGGCTCTCAAAGATCGGCGACATCAGCTTTTAGCTCAAAGATGGCCGCGCGAGCACACATAGAGCCGGCTGCGATACGAAGCGTCGCTTGATATCGAACATAAAAGACCAAGTCGAAAGGATGCACGGACTGCCCCCGTGTTGATAAAGAGCCGTTTTCTGGTCGGATTCTACAAACGGCCTGACCTTTTAGGTACTGCGCGGTCTTGCTACCTCGGCTACGACATCTTGTGTCTGTGTAGTGCAGCTACTGCTGATTGAGAGTGGAGCTTTGTGTGTGGCCGGCACTGGCTGCCATGTGATTCTAGCGCCGATCCAACACACGTTCCAACTGTCAGAACTGCCAATCCCCAAAAGGCATCGTCAACGACCAACATCATTTTGACTGAATTCGTTGAGTAGGCGTCGGTGAAGGCTGAGCCATACGGAATTTTCAATGCGCATGCCTGCCAATTCGTTCGTGTGAAACGAGCAGACAGCGGTCACTGTTTCCCTGATCAGATGATTTGCAGTTTGTGTGGTAGAACCTTGAGCTTCACACGCCTCCAGATGTGTACTTTCGGAGGAATAGAATGATTTCCGGTCCAGCGCGGCGCGATACGATCCTATCGAAAAAGGTCTGTACATCTCTGGTTCCAGGCAGCCTTTATTCAGCTTAAAATACGAACATGCATGCTCGCGCCAAAGTCCTTAGTACAGCATGGAACACTAGTGATGTAGCGCGTGCAAAGGTTGATGCTATCAAACTTGTTAATTTCCTTTTCGTTTACACCTGCACAACGAATGCTCTAAATTGGGCCACACACATCATTGCTACACTTTCCACTTCGCAAGATTACAGGTCATCGAGTGCTCACCAGATGCTTGAGACTCATCGCTTTCACGCACAGAAACATGCTGCATGTTGTTGTGGTCGCTCGTCAAATGAAAAGCGTTTCGCTCAAAGTGCGTCTGTCAGTGTCTACCAGAACCTGACGCATGATCTTTCGCCGTCTACTTGCTGGGCGACGACACAAGTCCAGCGGAATATGACAGATTGACAGGTGCTTAGTCCATGATGCCGAATACCAGAACTATGGAAGAGACGTCAGACCATGCTCCACAAATAAGTTAGGGGTGCAAGCTCTGGAGATTGCCCTTTCATACAAGTACATCAGATTTCATAACTGAATCAAGTGACAAAACACTATCTTACAGACACAGTCACGGAAGAAGGAGTCTGATGTTGTTCACGCCTGTGTTAACCTGTAGTTACTATGTAAATAGCACGATCGTCCTTTGCTGTTCAGCGTCTAGTGTTCGCCAACATGATTGCATTCACCTTTGATCGGTTTGAAGCCAATCACGTTCGCGCTCCAAAATAGTGATCTAGCCAAAGACTGACTTCGTATACACCTTAAGCCTAATAGGGGGATTGGCTAGATCGCCCTTCCAAAGTGACCTGAAGGACCGCGCGGCATAAATCTCTAGATCGCCCTTAAAATGTGTAAGGTACACCTAACCGCGTTATTTTTTAGACACGCGGACAAACACACACAGATAAGTACGTCAAAAAGTTCGGCATTCAACCTTGCACACACTCACTAATAGCTTCACCCTTCGGGCTCGCAATGATCATGGATCGATATGTAGGTAGCCATCCAATTCATGTGAAGCTGCTTTCGATTGCATGGTAGTAGCAAGATTCGATGGCGTCGTTTGTTTTTACTCATGCGACAAAACTTTTTGTGCGTGGAAGGGTTTCTGAGTCGCACGCAAAACATTACATTACAACGAACGAGTTGCTCATTTAGAATTCATGCTTACAAACATCCATGGCGGCAATGACTTGTGTTGCAAAGGTGTGTGCAAGTCTTTAATGAACGATGGCAGCATGTGCTCAGAGGGGTGTCATGACACAGCGGCAGTGGAGCGCAACGTCTTAAAAAGGGTAAATTCAAGCGCAGCAAAAAAGGGTATCGTACTCATCGCAATGGTCACACCAATACCCTGTCAAGAAGCTATAAAGCACATAGCGTAGCACAGAGAGACTGCGTGTGTGACTACTATCATCAATAATAATTACATTTCTTGTAACGGGGTTGCACGAAATTATGGTACTTTGTACCAGAGGTGTTACACACCTGAGGTTACCCCTTTGTGAAGGTGATATAGAATATCTTATTGGTTTGTAGGGGCTGACGAGTGTCAGCCATTAGGTACGAAAGATCTTTGAGTAGGATTACGATATTCTATAAGCGTTAACAAAAATAAAATCAGTTCCCATTTTGATCTAAGGGACACGTGACTTGCGAGCCGTCTTGATCGTTGATCACTGATCAGAAAGAGCTAGCAACACCTCCTTGAGGTAGCTACTCTTGAGCACTGAGTGCTGTCGATTCACTGAATCGTTAGGTCCCCTGGAACAGGGATCTGAAGCTGTAAAGCTTGTTGACTCGTAAAGTCGTTAGTTCTTTGGAACTAAGTTGCTCGTAGAGCGTTAAGTCTTCCTCTGACTTAAGGAGCTGTGTAGCTCCGCTACACTTGGTAGCACTCGTAGTCAATCTACGCCTGAGTCTTTAAGAATGATCCCCTGTGAGGATGGAAAACCCCATTCCCCTATCTGAGGCCCAAAAGGTCGCGCTTGATAATTTGACCGTATCTTTAAGGTCCAGAGTACGTGGAGTTCCTTGTTTCACAAGGTCCTGAAGTGCTTAATGCACGTGTTGAAAGCTTCATGCAGTATGAAGCGACCCTTTTAGGGCAGGCCCAAGACCAAATAGCGTCGGCTATGCCTACACGCTACGTGTCTGTACCAGACGAAGAGGCTAAGCCTCGTCCACTTAGAGTGGAAGTAAAAAACTACTCCGGTAGGGAGGGCGAGAACCTCATCCTCTGGATCCCTGAGATTGAGATGGCCATGAGATCAGGCCTGATCACGCTTGACCATTAACAGGTCTCGCTGGCTATCTCGAAGCTCGATGGTAAAGCTAGAGAATGGGCCTTGACGTGTAGCACGTCGGTGGACCTAGCATTTCCCTTATGGGAGTCGCTCAAGTCACAATTGGTACAGGTGTTCTCACCACCTAACCAGTCTTACCGCGTGCGTTCACGCTTTCTTTCTACCCGCCAGGGTAAGAATGAATTATCGGACTATGTCCAAGAGCTGCGAACGCTCATGGCTGCTATGCAGTCTGACCCTCTGCCTGAACAGGTCCATGTGACTATCTTCATGGAAGGTCTACGTACTGGCATTGCCAGAACCGAGATTCTTCGGGTTCACCCCTCTACATTGAAGAGGCTGTGAGAACTGCTCTTAATGCTGAGTATAACTTCAAGTCGGCCAGACTTGGTTGGAATGGATACAATCCTCGCTCTGTGAGAGCAAACTTTTCGGGTACCACTGCCTATAATAGGCCGGAACCGATGGATCTCAGCTATGCTGAAGGTGGAGGGGAAGCTGAGCTTCAAGCTGCTGAGCAGCAACACGTCGTACGACGATGTTTTGCGTGCGGAAGCACTAAACACTTGCGGCCTGGTTGCCCTTTGCGAAAGCAACGCCAGGCTACGAGCCAACACTCGACCCCGAGTCAGAAGTCTGGCATGGCACGGGGAAATGCCGACACCCAGTATGCGCGGGGCGCCCTACTGGGGAAGAACTATGTTCTGTTACACCTTTAGAAGGTAAAGGAATGCAGGGCTTAGCCCCAAAGAGTACCATACCTACAGGTATGGTGCGTGGATACAAGTCTGGCTTGTTGGTCGCCGAGGCGAAATTTAAGGGCTTTGAGAAGCCTTAGTCGATATTGATCGATTCTGGAGCGTCTTGCAATTATGCTCGACGTCGTTCCCTTGAGGGAAGTCAGCGTTATGCTGAGGCGCTTACAGCGCATGAGGGTGATTCTATCACGGTTCGTTCAGCGACCGGAAGTCGCGAAACTGTGCCTAAAGTTCCATTGAACTTAGGTATAAAGTTTTTTGACTTTGACAGTATTGAGCGCTGTCTTGTCCTAGATTTGGACTCGAGATATGATCTCACCCTAGGTATGGCTTGGCTTGAACGCTATGAGCCCTGGATTGATTGGAGGTCTAAGACCTTAGGCGCTATTCGCAATGTTCCTAGCGAAGCTTTGGAGAGTCATGAACCCACCTTCGCTAGGCAACAGAAGCGCTATTGGCGCGAGCCTTCAACAGAAGATGTCAATGTGCTAGATATTGGAATGTCTGAGTTATCTAACTCCAATGTTACAAACATAAGTTTCGAGCCTAGCTCGTCTGAAACTAGTGAAACGGCACGTACTCCATTGAGTGTTGCTCGTTGTGATAACGAGTCACTGCATGCTAAAAGCATGGTTGGCCTAGGGCCTAGTGATCAAGGATGTGATTCCTTTGATGTGTGTATGGTGGCACGTGAAACTACACCGAGTGCGGTCGGCCGTGAGAGCACCGCACTGAACGTCGGTAATGACGTTGTTGGCGATTCGCCATATAGTGTGGGCGGCCGTGAAGGCACCACGCTTAACGTCGGTAATGGCGTTGTTGGCGATTCGCCATATAGTGTGGGCGGCTGTGAGGGCACCACGCTTAACGCCGGTAATGGCGTTGTTGTCGATACGCCATTTAAAGTGGGTGGCCGTGAAGGCACCAAGCTTAACGCCGGTAATGGCGTTGTTGGAGATA